CCTCCCAGGCCCTCAGCAGGAGCGGCACCTCCGGCTCCCGGGAGCGAGAGACCAGCGAGAGCTCCTCCGGCTGCGAGGGCCAAGCCAGCCTGAAACGCGCGATCCGTCTTTGTCTGCCTCTTGTTTATTTGGTGCAGCACGTAAAATAATATGCCCCTCATTGGTTTGTAGAGCATCAAATTGTCCTATTAAAGCTGTTTGGCAATAAAAAAAATTTCAAAATAGCACTTCCACAAGGAAATTCACCTGGTGTTGGAACACAACATCAACAATAGCATCAGCACCATGAACAAGAAAAGGCGTTTCAAAAGCTGATAACAGTCTTGTCGAGAGTAGCTCGTAGAGTATCAGATGCTACATGACGAAGCTGACAAGAACAGGAAAGGAAGAGCTCTACCAACACAGAGGGAGGTACCAGCACTTCCCCCCGCACCTGCAAAGGAGCTGCTGTCTGCGGGCCACGTACCATGGGGAACCTTATCCCTTATCTCTGGAGCAGTAAGGCCCCTGGCTTCAGGCCTGCCAGTAACTGTGCTGAGTAATTAAGGTACAGTCATCCACACAGGAGGCCATGAACACAGCTTCTACAGCAGCTGTACATAGTCATGCCTTCTCTAGGGTTTGGTTTCAAGTGCTACTATTTTTTGAGCTATAACAACAGTTACCTATGGATTTTCTCACATAATAGAAAATGCACAGAAAATCTCCCCAGAAAAACAACAAATAGTCTCTATGTTCTTTCCCTGAACAGTAACAAAGTTGTATTAGTTGCTGTATCAGAATGCCATACACAAAAATGATAATCACTAGTACAATCTGGTTTTGGACATATACATCAAACCAATTAGCACATCTTAAAGTCTCAGCAGGCACTTTTGTAATACACAGCATTTGTCTTAGAACTGTACCCATTTGCAAAAAACAGTGTAACCTACAGATTTCCATCTTGGAGCTATCACAGTTAGAATTTTTTAGAAATGGAATGGAATAGAAAAGAGTAGAAAAGGCTATTGCCTATGGAAGGGACCTACAGTGACTGTCTAGTCCAACTGCCTGACAGGTGCAGGGCTGACCTAGTCAAAGCCTGGTATTAAGGGCATTGTCCAAATGCCTCTTAAAAACTGACAGCTTGGGGCATTAGCCACCTTTCTAGGAAGACTGTTCTGGTGTTGGACCACGCTCTCTGTAAAGAAATGCTTCCTAATGTCCAGTCTAAGCCTCCCCTAGTGCAGCTTTGAACCACTTGCATGCATCCTATCACTGGATCCCAGGAGAAAAGATCAGTATCTCCCACTCCACTTACCCTTCTCAGGAAGCTGTAGGGAGCCATAAGGTCACCCCTCAGCCTACTTTCTCCCAACCTAGGAAAGCCAAACTCTGGATACAGTTGAGGACTTCAACACCATTCTCAAATTTTGAGTCCCAGAACTGCACACAGTACCCACGATGAGGTCACATGCTAAAGAGAGTGTTTGTGTCAATGACTAACAGCAAGTTTGATTTCTCTCTAGAGAATTATGGGATATTTTTGTAATTATTATCTGCTAAGGGCAAGAACAGCCGACAGTACACAATTCATGCACAGAAAAAATGCCACTGCCCTGATGTCCCACAGCTCAGTGTCTGGATGGTAGTCTGAGCAAGCAAGAGAAAGACTAATTTGAAAAAATATTCTTTCATGTGTTTACAGTCTCTTAGAACTGCAGTATGCAACAAAGTCAGAGGAGTAGAATTCTGCATGGGCAGGATATTAGGCTTATTTTTATTATGTCTTTTCTTGGATGTACAATTATGTTGAGGCTCTACCTCAGTTATGGGACATGGTTCTCTCTCACAGAATTAAGTTGTCTTCTCACTGGGTCTGGTAAAGCTATACTGTAACTAAGATCAGCTTAGTGGTATTAGTAATACCATTAGGTGTTCTGCCTCCCGGTTTCCAGGATCTTTGTCTAAAGCATGAATAATTTTGGCTACTTTAACTAAATATACAATTACATACAAAAGTATAATCATATACACAAATATATAAATTATATTTACTGATGTATATATCATTAGAGCAACTAGAGTTTGCCATGCATATGAAAACAAGCCTATATTCCATGGCAAAGTAAAACAAAATATAAAACCCTAGAGATGAAGGAGTAAATATCATGCTGTTTGACCTCTTTCTCTTTCATGACCATTACTAAGCTGCCCATAAGAGGAAAATGAACAAAAAGATCACTACCATTATGGCCTCATTTACCCAAGTACCCTATCTTCTCTAAGCCATTCCAGCCTTGGAAGACAGGATTGCAACAGCCATGCTATTTAATACTCTCAACTTGCAATCAGTATTGGTGATGGCCAAGACCCACATGGACAGCATCTGTCTTAGACACGCTATCTTAGATGGACGTGGGATATCGATACAGAAATCAGTATGCAAACATAACACAGGGCAAACACTGAATATAGACTATTAATGCATGACAGGAGTTTACCTTTTTTGACCTTCATTAATGTACATTAATTTGATAATGGAAATAAAAAACAGAACTTAATTGAATTAGGGAGTACCTATGCCAAAGAATAGGCTTCAGCTTTGTTTTAGTAAAAGACAATGTTGTTGTTTATACTCTCAACTGTTATTAACTTCGAGGACAAGACAAGTATCTTTCTTCACTTTTTTAAAGGATACTCATAGTGACACCCATGATAAGCAATGACCTGTTGGGTGTCCACCTTCCAGGGACCCTATGCTGGTAAAAGTGAACAGAGGATTGGTCTCAGAAGAAAGAAATTAAGTGGAATGGTTTCTAATATCCACTTTCTAACACAGAATTTCACTGTATGTGAAGGGCATCAGCACAGTTATTTTCTGGCTCTTCTGAAATCTAGGGCACTTGTAAAAATGCCAAAGTACTCCAGAAAAGTGGAAGATTTATGGCATGGTCTTTCTTCCTTCTGCAAGTCTATTCAGTCTTTCCTTTTTCGACCAATTGAATAAACATCACTACAAACCCACAGCTGGGCCTTGAAACTGTGTCCCAAGTCACTTGGAAGCAGACAAGAGGAGGCGGGCCACCAAGGTCTCATAGTGCTCCTTGTACAAGCCCGGCCTCTGGAGAAATTGCACTCGGGGACTTAAAGATGAGGTCCGGATTATTCAGATAGAGGTTTTCAGAGGAATGGGAGAATGACTGAAAACAGTTAGCAATATCGAGCTAAAAGAGAAAGACGGATGCCAAGGCGAACTGAGGTGATGCCACCCGCTAAGCCCAGGGAGAGTGACCCACGGCACTCTCACAAGCGAGACCACAGCACTTTACTTGGGTGGAAGCCAGCCTTGGAGACCCTCCTCCCCCAACACCAGGGCGGCTCCGGGCCCTGCAGGTCAGCTGGCCGGTGCAGCACACAGATGAACGAATTCACGGACAGGAGCCGAACTCAGGGCAGCTCCCAGAGCTGCTTCCCTCCCGCCCCCGCCACGAGGGGGATCCCGGCCAGGGAGACTTCCCTCAGTCCCCTCCTCACTCCACGGCTGCAGGCCCTCCCCAGTGTGGAGGCAGGGTGGAACGACGACAGCAACCGGCGCTGCCCTCTCGGCACCCTCCTCCGACCCCACCTGCCTGGGCAGAGCCCACTCCCGTTAATTGGATCAAAGGCCGGGCGGCGGGGGCGGGAAGGCGGGAGCTGCGCCGAAGCTGCCCCGCCGCTGCCATCGGAGCGGCCCGAGCCTGGGCCCGCCCCGCGGGCGCTGCTGGAGGCGGGGCGGGACCCCCGAGTCCCGCGGTTGAAATAGGGGGAGGGCTCAACCGGTCCCTCCCCCAGGTGGCCGCTGCCCGCCGAGCGTCCCGCCGTGCCACGCCGCCTGCGAGGTAAGCGGCTGGGTCGTTGCTGTGGGCTCCGCTCTCCCGGGCCCGGCGCCTTTCGGTCTTGTGCCCCGTGGGGTGCCGGGGGTCCTGGCGGCGGAGCCCGTCCTGGTCCCGGCGCCGCCTTCCCGCGGCGGGCAGCGCGTCTCGGGACGTGCTGGCAACTGTGAGGGAAAAGTTTCCTCATGGAAAGGGGGCGGGTGGGGAAGGCGGTACCCGGCTGGGCGCTGGCTGTGGGCAGGAGGGGACTGGGAGGCGGCTCGGTGCGGTTCGTCTGGAGGCGCAGCGGAGACCCCCGGTAGGTGCGGGAGCGACGGCGCGCGGGGCTGGGAAGGGCGGCAGGACTGCGGTCCCTTGCCAGAGTTTCGCTCCCTTTGCGTTCCTAAGCTTCCCCGGGTGCCCCGCCGCCGGCCTCCCGGGGCCGGCCCGCTGTCGCCGCCCCGTCACTGGGGGCTGCCGAGGCTCCCCCTCCCTCTGGAGCCCGCGCCCCCGCTCCGCCGCGGGGACAGGGGCCTCTTTGTGCCGGATCCGCGCAGAGCCGCTTCCCACTCTGAAACCGGAGCCGCGGGCGCTGGCAGCGCTGTGGAGAGTGGGGATAAAGCGGCTTCCCAGGACCCCCTGGGAAAGGGGCCGCGCCGGGGCCCATGCTCGCGGGGCTGCAGTCCCTTGTCTCCGGTGTCCTTGTTGGCGGTCTGTGAGCCGCACTCCGGGCAGCTGAATGGAGAAGTTCGGCAGACGGGACAGTTCTGTCCTTGTTCGTCCTCTTCCTCTCTTCTGGCTGCCGACAGCAGGGAGGGGAGGGCGAAGGACAGGCACCAGGGGTGCTGCCTGTGGCTGTGTCACCGGGCCCCTGGCAGGCTGCTGGGGTTACCGTGTCCTCTCCAGCCTAGGGCAGGAGAAAGCTGATAAACAGGGAGGGTATTAGTGGGCCTGAATATCCAGCGCTTGAGAAGACAGTCTGATTTGTCACTGGGCATGGGAGGAGGGTTCCACGGTCTCTGCAAAGCTATCGATAAGTGAAGCTAGCGTGGCCCAAACGCATTAACCTGTTCCACCACTTTCTGTGCCAACTATGTGTTCTTTCCTTGCTTCAGTTCTTCAGGTATGCAAGAAGGCTCAGGCTTGGTGGGGCGGGCGAGGTTAGCTGACCACCGCCAGACACTTGTTCCTGGCCCTAGGAAGTAGTCTGGCCTTTTTGTTCACTCTTTGACCCACCTTATAGAACTGGTGCTCCCTGTTTCCTGAAACTGGAAGTGAACTTCTCTCTCCTTCAAATCAGCTGCCGGTCTAATTCGCACAAAGGAATTTCTGATACGAGGGTAATTGATTGCAGTACAAAACCCAAGCAGAGCCTCCCACTCCACCCTGACGTTGAAGTGTCACTAAGCCTTACAGTGGGTGACTCAAGTCATTCCCGGGAAGCAATGAGAGCAGAATGCACAACTGCAGTGTGTGGGCTAAAATGACAGGGTCCCGACACTCCATGCTCCAGGTGTGAGCTGGTCTTTGGGTGGAGTCAAAGTGGAGCTTCTCCCCGTGAGTTGTGTAACTGGGCACATTCTTTCATGCAAGGATTCACCTTTCCCCGAAGTCCACAATGTGCTTTGTGTGAGATGGAGTCTGCTTTGATAGTGTTTTGTGTAATTAATGGTATTTCTCTAGAAGTTCCCGAAAATATTTACTAGATTGTCCTTACAGTTGCAGCTTGGAACAGAATGAATGTGTGAGCTTGATCAGCTGCCTGCTGCCTTCCCTGTTTTGTGCCTGGTCCATTGTATTGCTTTACTGGCTTTTTAATTTTTTTCTTCTGATCTGTGTGTTTGAGCTTCTCTGGCTTGCCTGCACTTGTTCAGGTGAAGACTGTCTTCTTCTCAGGCTGAAAAAAGCAGTAACCTGAGTGTATCACCTATGTGTATGGGTGAGAACAACTGCCCACCTGGAACTCTATTATCAAATGTCAACAAGTGAATAGGCTTGTGTGTGGCTGGGCTGCACCAAAATGCTGCAGGTCACTGGCAGACCATGTGTGTAACCAAGTCATAAAAGCCTGAAAATTTTATGGACCCAAATTAATTTCTTCACAGGATAATGATTGGTGGTTTTAGTTATTTTAGGTTTTTGTGGATTTTACAAGACCTAGCCTGAATCTTCTGGGCTTTCCCTGGATGCTCATAAATTTACAAGAAAAAGAAAATAATTATGTATCAGAGAATCAATGTATATTTACACACATGCAGGCATATATATATCAATAATACAATAACATATACATATATATTATGTAATGTATATATACATACATAATATGATTATGTAATACTATATATATATATATTTTATATATATATATATATATATATATATACACACACACAGTAATACAATAATGGGACTTCTTAGGAGATGCAAAGCTGTAAGAATGCCTCTACCACCACAAAGGGGGGATGTGAGCTTCTGTCAGAACTCATGAAATCAGCAAGCAGGGCAAACACTGTATATTCTTTATTCTGGCCATCTCAAGGGCTGGTGATTATTCAGTTGTTGTTTGAACTGGTTGGTCTGTGTCATGGCTAGCATCCAGGGATTGAACAAAAGCTAAAAGTATCTGCTTATAGCCTGAGTGGAAAAAGCTATACTCTTGATCAGAGAGCATTAATAAACTGCCTCTATTTTTGCCATCAGCTGATCAGTGATCTGTGAATTTGGGCTGCTCTTGAGAGTTCATGGGGAAATGCCTGAACAATACAAGAGCTGTTTAAGCCCTTTAAGGAGCTCTTATCTTTTTAAAACAGACTGTGATAAGGCAAGCTGTTTTATCACTAGTTACTCAGTGCAGTGGGTGTAGAGGGTACTCTGTGAGAGGCAACTGTGACAGATAGATTTTAAAAAACCCTTAATATTTAGTCTAAGACTTCAGTGGATAGGTCAGAAAACAGTGACTGCTGTATCTGGAAGTTTTCACAAAGAATTTTGCTCTTTGAAGAATTAAAAAAGAGCTTGGCATCCTTGAAGCAGTTAAGAAGCTGTTCAAGTGGTCGCTTTTGCCACTACCCTGCAGCATGGTGATCACTGTAATTTAACATTAAAATGCATTCTTGACTGTTTGGGCACAAGTTTATCCAGCAGCACAAAGGAAAATGTTGTGCAAAGAACCCGGTGCATCCTGTGCTGTAATCACCCAGCTTTGTTTCAATAATGGTACACTAGTCTCCAGTAGCTGGGCGCTGCTATAAGGCAGTAAATGTGACTGGCATCCTAATCACATTTGGGCCTTCACTGGTTTCTCCTTGCTGTGAATTGGACGATGGGAATGAGCCTTTCAGACTTGGGATAGTTGGAATTTGTGTGTTAAATCTAGTGATTGTCACTGGGCACCGTAGTTTGTTGAAAAGGCATGTGAGAGATCTCCATGGTACCGGGGGCCTGGATCCAGAGGCATTAGGCTTGTATGGGATTTTATGCTCTCTTAATAGGTGACTGTGGTAGGACTCTATTGCAACTAAGTTTTTCCAGGCTAGAGGAGTTAGAATTGCTGCAGGCAAGCCATAAGTAACAGTGCTGGCAAGCCTTCAGCCTCCTCAGGCCTGTCCCTGCTGTGAGCTCGCCCAAACTGTGTCTCTCCTGTTTGCAGGAAGACACAGTACTTGCCTCCTGGGCTCTCAGGGACATAGTCCTTTCAGTCACCCACAGGTGATTTGCTGTTGGTAGTAACTTCTGCCATCCCTCAGTACAGTACCCCTGCTGCTGAGCCAAACCTCTCCCAGCGGCAGTGCTGCTGTGCAGAGCTCTCAAGTGGCCTTGCTTTTTCTGACAAGGGCAAGAAGCTTTCATGGATGATTGAGAGAAGATGTAGCACATTTGACCCCTTGAATGATTGAAAGTATTTACTTCTGCTTCTTGATGTTTTCAGTCAGCTCTGCCTTGGACAAGGACTGGTGAGCTATGGTAACCCATGGGAAACCTTGCTGTTGACTCCAGCAGGCTTCTACTCCACTGCAAGCAAGCAGCTAGGGTTTTGAGCTGCTTCAGGAAGCCTTGCAGGGGAATAAAGCCCACTGGATTGCTTTGTTGTGCTTGTGGTTTTTTTAAAAAGCCTTCCAGTGTTCTTTCCTCACATGTCAGGCTGAATCTTGAGGACCAGAAACTGAAATCATTCCTTTGGGCAGTGGACTGAGAAAGCAACTGACATTCCAGTGATGCTGAACATTAAAATCTATCCTGTCACGTGTGCACTTTGGGCTGACTGCCCTGTTTGCCTGTGTTCTCTTAAAGTATTCTGAATAAAATTTAGGATATGAAGTGTTAATAATTCTGTTCTGAAGTGTTAACTGTTCTGTTTTTCAGCCTGAGATCCAAAAACTTATTTTAAGAGGCACTACTGATACTGAGGAGCAGATTCTGTGCAGATACTATGAAAGTAGATAAAAGCTGCTCCATGACATGCAGGGCAATGAACTTCAAGAAGAATGTGTGAAGTATTTGTGGCCTTTCAGTAGAAGAATTTCAGCCTTTCAGTACTTAAAAGGAGCTTATGTAAGGAGGGAGACCAACTTTTTGCATGGGCAGATGGTGATCAGACAAGGGGGAATGCTTTTAAAGTAGAGGAGAGATTTAGATTAGATGTTATGAAGAAATTCTTAAAGTGTTGCTAGAACAGGTTGCCCAGAGAAGTTGTGGATGCCCCATCCCTGGTAGTGTTCAAGGCCAGGTTGGATGGAGTTTTGAACAACCTGGTCTAATGGGTGGCATCCAAGCCCATGGAGATGGGCATGGAACTAGATGATCTTTGTGGTCCCTTCCAACCCAAACCATTCTAATATTCAATGAAGTATGAATCTCCACAGAGCAGGCCAGTTCCTTATGGCTTTCCTATTTCAACCTTGTTACCTATATCTCTGGGAAATCTGTCAGAAAGGTGTATGAATATGTTTAGAAGTGGAGTACCTCCCAAGTGGCTGATCTGCCAAACTCTTCTTGAACCAGGAGATGCTACAAAAGGAATAGAAGTTCTCCCCAGTCCACAGAGCAAAGAATGCATTCTTTTCACATCTGGTCCCATAAAAAATGCAAAATGACTCTGTGTAAAAGCTACTCTGTAGTCCTTCTAGTTCTTATGGTATTGAAATCTGCCTTAAGTTGCAGTTGTTTTTATGCAGTTTGGATTTTCCTGCAGAATAAACCTAGCTCTGGTAACAAAAGGTGAAAAAAGAGCCTTGCTGTCAAAGTGGAGGAACTGGTGACACCTGGAACAGAAGCAATGGGTATGATGCTTTAACCTCATTCTTCTTTACCATGAGAGATGCCCTGGCACTCAGTTTTATCTTACTCAGCTCTCAAGTCAAGGAGTTGGTTGCACTCCCTTCTACTGACTGTTTGGGACTCAGAACTCTTCAGGGAACTGGATGAACTTCAGAAATGCCTTGAGGATGATCTTCAATGTTTTTGTCTCCATTATAGGAATATTTGGAAGGAAAATATTCACATAATAAGCAGTTCTAGTAAATCAGCTTTTACCATGTAAAACCAGAAACCGATTTGATGCAGCCATAGATAAAGAAATGCAGTACTTTGAAATAATTTACCATGATTGTCACACATTTGGTCTGAAGGACAAATTTCTTCCAACTCTTATTTCCCATTCCCCTTTTTCATAAAGCAGCCAGTGGAAAATACAACTGTTGGTAAAGGAAACCCAGAAGGCTCCAGAACTACAAATGAGTTAAAAACTCACTGTGGCTTCCAAGTGGGAGAAGGTAGGAGAGAAGGCTGGAGATTTCTGACTGCTGTGCAATCTAGTGAAGCAAGAAACCACCAGAAGCTCATTGTTAGAATGGAGCCAACTGGCTTGTGATTCCCACAAAGTGGGATTGCATTGAGTGCAATCTGCTTCCTTAGGACTTCTAATGCATTCATGTAAACTTGATCCCTGCTCTTGGCATTGCAAGGTGATTCAATCACAGGAGAATATTCCAGTGGCAGGAACTTACTGGAGTTCGTCCCCCTTCCCACTCCCCATCCACAGGAAACACCCCTGCTCACCACATCCTATTGCTTCTGCCTTCTTTGCTCAGGGTTAGATGAGTCCAGGCATTTTATTCTGTTTGGATAAGTGTTGTTCATGTAAAGATCCAAACAAACCAAACTTCTTATTCCAAGCCTAGTTGGAGAGGATAGACTGGTCCAACCTGCTACTGCAATAACTTGTCTTTACTTAAAGTTCCAGGCAACTGTGTTACAGAATGGACTATTGATCTTACCAGTTAATAAATGCAGAAAAGAACATTACCAGGTAAGATGTAGATTAAATCCTGGAAAATGTTTGCATTCAGTGTGGATTGAGACTGCTGAGGAGGGATATACTAGCTTTTACTAGAGCTTTAAGCACCTGTTTATCAGTGATTTAGGAAGAAAGAACTTTCAGTTGTTTGGGGTCCTATCTGATGAAAAGGGAGGTGCATGTGTTTGGTGTTTGCTTGCAGAGACTGATGCAGCAGGGTGGGAAGTACCCTGGGAAATATCCAGCGTAGAAGCAAACAAGTGCAGAGGCCAGGGAGTGGGACAGCAGCAATTACAGGTTCTCCATATCTGCCTGGGTTAAACCATTGCCCCGAGAGAGTGGTAAGAGAGGGAGTGTGAGAGCTGGAAAGTGGGCATGCTGTGACTAAGGAGTGGAACAGGAATCATGCTGTTAACAGGTCTAAGAAAGCAGCAAGGGTAGTGCTGTTCCAGGTAACTTGTATGTGTGGCTTCTTACTAAGCTGTCAGCTGCAGCTGCTAAATATATAGATACAACATACATGTTTAAGTTATACCAGCAACCATTTGGAATAAAAATTAACATAGCCTATTGCCCTGTTTGAGTATGGTACACAATGGTTTGCTGCTGGCTTCTTCCCTCCTTCAGCTCTGTATTTGAGATTGTGATTTTTTTTTTTTTAATAAAAAGAACAACTGCGAAAAAATGTGACATTTACCTTGATAGCCCACTACATTCCTTCATTAACATTGTCTCATACTGTCATGTTAACCGGAATAGATCTGTGTTCCTGTAATATTAAAGATCTTCTACATCATATTGGAAATAAAAGCAGATTTTTTAATTTTTCTTGGTAAAACAGTTTCTGTCTGGTAAAGCTATGTCAGCCAGGAATCTTAACCCCTAGATCAGCAGCAGTGTATTAGTAGAAGCCTGTCCTGTAGCCTTGGCTGCTGACAGGGAATAGCTAATAGTAGAAAGGATTGAGTTCTGCATGAGCACTTTGAAAACAGCTTGGGGTGGCACATGGGGAATGCCTGTCATCAGTACATTAACTTGATCTGAATGTGAAGACTAAGCTAAAGAAGCTGTGGTCTGGACTCAGGGGGTCAGCTCTTCAATCTTGGCTGTGTTTTAGTATTTTGATGTAATCATTGAGAATTTTGCTAGTGGACAGCCACATGATCTCCAGAGAATCATGGGCTGGGAGATGGGCTTCTGTAAGTGACCTCTGTGTGTAGTTACTGTTCTGCCTGCTGTCTCTCTGACCTTTCCCTGGCTGGAGAAATGAGCTGAAATCTTCTTGAAACTGTATTAGACAGCTCTGGCAGGCTTCAGTCCTTCGGGAGAGGCTGGGAAACACTGGCTTAGTCCCTTTCCCAGTCAGGTGACTGCTGAGGGCGTGACACTGCAATAAGATAAGTACCTCTAAGGGAATTTTTGGGGGATCTTTGTGTTACTTGGCATTCTTTCTAGCAGTGGACAAGAACTGTCCCCTCTTCAGAAAGGTGAGTGTATGCCTATAAATACCAGACTGCCTACATAATGGTAGTGGAGAGGACATTACTGCACATCATCCCAGTTACTGGTGCAGAGCTACTGGATGTGCAGTTCCAGAGCTGGGGAGTCTGGAAAGGACACCCTGTCCCATGCCCCATTTCATTCTCTCTGTTGGGGGCCTTCCTAGCTCTGCTGTACCAACAGCAATTGAGTTTGTTACACTGCTGGAGTGACGTGGAACCTCCTGGCTTCAGCTCTCTGGTTTCATTCTGACAAGTTAGAAGGAAAAAACAAAGGGATTTAATGCTGTAAGGGAAGGAGGGGCTGCCATTTTGTGTAGTTGGGTTATTCAGATTGAAACGTTCATCTGCAACCTATACTAGAGTGCCACTGTTTTTGGAGGGAAAATAATGCCTTGTGGTGCTGTACAGAAGAATGACCAGGGAATCAAACAAATTGGTTGCAGAAAGTATCGAATTCCTGCTTTCTGGTGGTAGTTGTCTTGAGGTGGGAATTGGTTAGTAGCAACCTATTACTGATTACAACTTTTGCTTAGCTTGGCATTAGCACCTATGTAGAAATTGATCCACAATAAAAACATGTCTTCACCAAAGCCTCACTTACTAGATAAATGTTATTCAATTTGTTCCTCCATGTGTCTGTATCCAGCATTTGCTGTTGTAGTTGGGAAAGGGGAGTTGAGCAGAAGGCCTTGTCTGGTGCAATATACAGGCTTTGTTTGTGTGGATGAATTCCTGCAGGACTGCAGCCCCTTGATCCCTTGGAGAGTTCGGAGGTTTGATCTTGGGGAAATCAGGAAAACAGTTGCTCATAAGGACTCTCAGGAGGCAGTCAAACAATGCATAGAAGTGGTGCCTTGGGCATTTGGAGGCTGGAAGTACTGGAATGTGGTGTAGATGGAAGAGAATTTCTGTGGTTTACCTGCCTGAGGGAAAGCTTTCAATGGACAACAGCTATTATTACTTTTGGATCTACAAGTTTTCTTTGTGGATCAGGACCCTGTTGCACAGATGCTGTGAAAGCATGAAGCAACAAGGTACACCCTACAATGCATAATGGATTTCACATGTTTTTGAAAGGGAATGTTTTAGCCTGACACCTTGGTCTGAGGGCAGAGATCTGTGGTCTGAGACACGTCCCTGACTGGATCACGAGTGAGAATAACAACATGGCTTAAAGGTAGAAACAGCTCTATCACAATGAGCCCTCAGGTATTTTCCTGAGTGGAGCTCAGTACCAGTGAGACAGTCATGAGCCATTCCATCTTTCTGCAGCTAAAGAACAAGAAGCATTTTTTCGATAGCTTAATAGGGGGTTGAAAGCAGGTGTGGCCTAATAATTATGTTGGCTCCTAAGTGAGAGCAGGTATGTGGGAGAAGAAGGGAGGTATCTTTTCTAACACAGCAAGCAGAAATAGTTGTAGCTGTCATTTGCATGGTTCGATTTGCCTGATGTTGCTGGTTGTAGTGGTGTCTGTAATGCCTTTATCCATTAATCCTCTGGAGGTGTGAAATTAATGACAATGTAGTCACTCTTTCCCTCTTCTTCAGAGACCTTATCTTGCAGGAGCTGCTGTGAGGTCTTAAGTAGCTCTTAACTCTGAGAGCTGATAAACAAGGGTGGGAAGGTAGGCATAAACATTCCTTTGCCCTGCAGATATGATTTGCTAGATAGCCTTCTCTTAGCATAGGTGGCAGTGGCATCAGGAGGAGTCGTGTGTGTGGTACTGGCCCACATACAAGACTCCAAAACTCCAGTCAATCCAATATAACTCCAGCTGCGTTGCTCATACTGTACAGGCTCTGCCAGCCCTCCTGAATCATTTGGTGGCTCTTAAATCAGGCTGTCCATGAGGTATCCCTGTCATCTTTACTCTGCTGTAAAACAATGTCCAGGCTTTGGCACATATATTTACTTTTCCCATCAAACTTGGGTTTTCCCTGGTCTCAAACACTTAGTGGCTCACACCATGTGGTGTTTCAGGAATAGATTGGCATGAAGGGGGGGACTGGCAATCTACTTGCTCATCCAGGGCTCACTCAGAGTGACAGCAGCAGCTGTTCTTTTCAGCCCCTCTGTGCAGTACTAAGTACCTTTCCTATGTCTGCATGCAGATCCAATTTGATCTGCTGACTGACACGGGCTCATGAAGTATGTAAAGTCCAGAAAAAGCCAGCAGGAAAGGGTCCTTCTTGTTCTTTGACCTATTTGCTTCTACCAAGCTGGATTTTTCTGGATTTTTATAAAGGCTTTACAACTGCTATGGAAATATGTACTCAACTGACTGCTTACTCAGGTCATGGAGATGAGTCTGTAGAAATATCACTTCATTGTATTTTCCCCCCAGCTACTGTGCTGATGACTACAGTAAAGCCTTAAGCTGTGGCATGCTTTGGCACATGATATTACAGATGCTGCAAAATCATATGAATTCAAAAGTAGGTTGAAGAAATTAATGGAAGAGAAATCTGTTGAGTGCTCATTCATAGGTGGCACATCCAGCTCAGGGAAGTTCCTGTCAGCAAGTGGTTAGAGGCTTGGAGAGCACGCAGGGAGGCATCATGTATGCTTGCTCTGTTGTCAAAGTGAGGGAAGGTATCTCCTTTTGGCTGCTGTCTAGAAAGGCTATGAGGCCATGATAAACCTTAGTCTGATCCAGCACAGCTACTATTATATTTCAGAGCCTGTTAGTGATAGTGAATATGCTTATTTTGAGTTTGTGACTCCTGAGAAAGCAAGCAGATGTGACTCAAATTCTAACATGGAAACTGCAGAAAGAATGGATTCAGAGTTTGGGATGTTTGCTTAGCTTGACTGTCCCTCAGATGAACAAACATACTGCCATACAACAGCTTTCCACATTTACTCCCCAAATTACAGTGCCATGTAGTCAGCCTGAATAGGAAAGAAGAGATGGAAGGCATGTTTGTGATTCATTGCTTCCTGATAAAGTGGGGATGGGGGAGTAGCATGGAAAAAGTGATACAGCATTCATGTGTCATGTATCATTGATCTATGTCTTCATCAAGAGAAAGAAAGGATTGGTTTTAAATACACTTTTACATACCTTCACAAAGTTTTTTTTTAATCATAGCAATTTTAGGAATGTTTAGTCTGGTTTTTTCAGGGACTACAGGGAAGCCATAACCTTTAATCCAGTGACCTGGACGACTCAGAGTCACAACTCTTCCCCCTCAACCTCTGGCCTTCCCCTTCCTCACCAAAAGTCAATAGTTTGCAAAAACCCAGTTTGCTTTTCTTTCTTTCCTTCTGTTTCCCTACCTTCTTTCATTTCTTCTCAATAATGGTCTTACCATCTGGCTAAAGATCCCACTTCCATGTTTTGCAGTTTCTACTCTCAGCTGCCCTAACCTTCTAGCCTCAGCTGAGTGCATGCTGATGACTGAGAAGGGATTTTTTTTTTGTTTGTTTGTCTGTAGTTGAGGTTTTTTGTTATTTTTGTCTGGGTTTTTTTTATTAAATAAACTTTTTAGATTGAGGTAAATCCCCAGGGATGTAAACGTGAGATAAACAAAAATATCTTCTTCTGCCCTGGCTTTTCTTAGCTTCTGCAGACCTTTTACTTCTCTTTGCTCTGTGGAAGGCTGATGACTATTACCTGTACCATATAGCAAAATAAAGTATTTCTGAGAATGAGATGGGAACAGCTTACAGAAGCAAGGGACAAAAAAGCTCTCCTGCTAGAGGGCCACATTCTACCAGTGCAGTGCTAGGTGCTCTTGTACTAAAGGAACTGTAGATCAGAATATGCTTTTTGGTGGCTTTTTCTTTTTTCCTTTATGTAGAGTTATCAAGTTCTTTGACTTGTGTATAAATCTTTGTCTTTAGTAGAAGAGACTGGAGAAGGTATGTGTGTGTCCTTCTCTCTTTGTTCCAAAGGCAGCTTTGTATAAAAGTGTATGCAGCAAGGGCATGCAGGCAGTGGGGTTTGCTAAACTGGACACTGTCCAGCGAGGGGGAGCAAGGCCCCATGTGGGGTGCCTGGGTGCTTATTTTAGGTCTTTCTGGCCCAAGCCATTCCCTATGCTCAGCTGTTGTGATGCTACCTTTCCTGCACAGTGCTGTCAGCCACCCCAGTGTTTCTATTTTAACTCTCTCTGGGGCTAGATCTTGTGACACAAGGATTTGGCATCTCTCCTACGTGCTGGAACATGGCATCTCGGGAGGCACAGTGGGTGCAGCTGCTATATCAGAGGGTGCCCATCCTAAGTAGCTAGTAGAAAAGGGACACCCCTTTGTGTGCATCAGAACAGGCATCATCCCTGCAAAGGAGTGTCTGACTGTGTCCATCTCTGTCTCCTCCAGTCTTTTTTCAGAGCCTGAAGAGCTTGAGGCACACTTGCCAGCTTCCCACTGCTCCTCTGTGGCAGCATCTTGCTTTCAGGTATGTAGTTACTGGGGCCAGGAGTAGAGTTATATGCCCTGGAGGTTGTAAGATGGCTTTGCAGTCAGATGACAGATGTAGGGAGGGAGGACAGGGACAGCTGATGGCATGGTGGAGGAATTAATTTTTCAAGGTTTGTGTACCTGGATGTCATATCCCACTTAACAACTTGCTTCAGTGACTGGAATTCAGCATTTCCAGCTTTCTGAAGAAGGCTAGAGGAACAGCACTAATACACTTCTGACACACTCCATGGGATGACACTGGGCAAACATAGCCAAATGTGGGAAATTCCTAAGTCTGGGTTGGGGCGCTTCACTGTGCGGCTCACGCCACCAAGAAGGATTTGCGTGAGGTGGGAGATGTGGACTCTTGACCTGATCTTCTTCTCTGCTGTGTGCTCTGTGGGCTGGCAGAATGAGCAGATACCTCTCTGGGGTGTGAGGGAAGCTTTTTATAACTAGGAATGTGCAAGAGGAGAAGTGGCAGCAAAGGCCATGCATGCTGCATTAACCTGGGCTCGTCTGAAAAGAGCTGGGTTTGTCAGCAAGTGACTGCGCTTGGGTCCTGTTACTCCTTCTCTCACTCTTGCACAAGAACAGCCCTGAACCTCTCCCCAAGGAATTCATGGCTCCATACCACATCAGGAACAAACTGGCAGTGCAGGCTAGCACAGGGGAATGGGCAGAAGTTCTAAGACAGCAGAGAATGACAGGAACCTTTTACCTTCCAATCTAGATTTTGAACCGAATGCAGTGAGTGTAGTGAACAGAGCAGATGTGCAGGGATGTTTCTAGGGAAGCAGTGCTGATGGGTAACTGTGCTGTGTTTGGCTGGGTATGCCCCAGCACATTTCTGTACTTCTGCTCAAGCCCAGTTCAGCTGGTGAGCAGCTTATAGGGCTCCTCCCCATTCAAGACATGCCTGCCTGCTGACTGCTCAGCCTTGTTTTCCCCAGTCAGTTGTAATCCTGTAATCCTGAGTCATACTGGGAAGCTGGAGTCATCTCCATTGACACAAGACTTTAAATAAAGTTTTTCGAGGCAGATTTTAAATAGCTTTAGCTACCTCAGTTTCTGTTACTCTCTCCAGGGCTTTGGTTAAGAACAGAATCTCTGCCAAAGTATTTGGTGCTGCTGAAGAGTGTTGGATTCATGAACATGTCTGATATCTGCACAGCCAAGGCTGGCAAGATTGTCTTCTACAACTTTCCCAATGTGTTACAGGCCTGCCAAGGAGGCCTCTTGTCTGCAGGGAGGGAGGAGGCCAGTTCAGCTGTGGGCTTCTTTGCTGGACCTTGCCATCTGCAGCTAGAGTGGCACTGATGACACTGCTTGACTGAAGGGCAGCAACTTGGGCTCCTCCAGCTCCAAGAGCCATGGAGAACTATGCTGTCTGCAAAGGCTCAGCCAGTGCTATGATGGAAATCACTTTTCTCTCTTCTCAGGTTAACTGAAATCTGCAAACATTCTCTGCTGCAAGAAAAAAAGGGTGATGTCATCAGAAGATGATGCTGGCGGGGAGGCTCCTGGGGGCAGTTTCTGGGAGGTAAGGAAGGATAATTGGAATGTGAGGGAGGTAGGAGTGTCCTCTTACCACCCACTGGTGGAATTGGGTTGAGTTCCAGGTCTGTGGTGACATGTTGCCCTTGAGGAGTGGAAGGGAGGAGCTGTGGGAAGGTTCAGTGCCATGCGGTGTGTTACTGCAGGGAGTAGTGAGTCTTTCTTCCATAGATACTGTGGAATGAGAGTTCCTTGTTCAGCTGACATTGATCTGAGCTGTGAGAGAAGCAAGCAAAGCATCTCAGCTTCTTCCCTCCAGTGCTGTGTCTGCCTGAGACTGCCAGAGGAGGGTCTGAGCCCAGATGCTTCAGAAGGACCCATGTTCCCTCCCCGTGCAATGATGGACCTGCTCTTGCATGTACTGTAGCAATGTGAAAGTAAGTGTGGTCTAAAGGATAATGCTGTGTGACATTGCAGGCTGGGAACTACAAGCGGACAGTGAAACGTGTGGATGATGGCTACCGGCTCTGCAATGACCTTATCTCCTGCTTCCAGGAGCGAGCCAAGATAGAGAAGAACTATGCCCAGCAGCTCACAGAATGGTCCCGTAAGTGGAGGACCAATGTGGAGAGAGGTAAAGTTGGCATATCAGACTGGGAACAGGAAGCAGTCATTGCATTCCCCTCTTTGAGTGCTGTCTTTTACTGAGGTGACATTGCTTCCTTGAGGGACAGGCTTCCCTTCCCCCGGAAGGGGGGTAACTTTCTTGGGTGTCTTTTTTGTGTATTTGCCTATTTTTGAGTCGGTTCTGTGATTCACTTGGAGATATGTTCTCTTGCCATGTGCATGGTTATTAAAAATAAAAAAAACTTTGTGCTTAGTTTGGCAAGTCCTTGGGCAGTCCATGTCTTAAATCAAGCTGGAGATACCCCCTTTAAGGATGTCTTAGCTGTCTTCTCCTCCAGTCTTAGAATAACTACTAACGCTGTGATTTAGTGGCAGTGTGTTCAAACTGATAGTGTCTCACAAAGTAACAGGAGACAATGGGACAGATGTCCCAAAGGACCTGCTGGTCTGTGGAACAGAAGCACAGCCTCAGTCATGAATTAATGCTGCTCTCTGCTCTGAAGCCTAAGCCAGATTTGGGAAGAGATTTTTTTCTACAGAGCCCTTCTCCTAGCAGGCACTGTCTGGGACAGTGAAGCTGCCCAAAGAAATGCCCATCTCATCCAGCTCTAACAGCCAGTCTAGATGCTGCCCGGTGGAACTGTGGAGACCAGTCAGTGCTGACTTGTTGGATGGGGAAGTGACTCCATACTGCTAGATGTAAGAGGAAGAGATTTTGCATTCCCTTCTGGGGGCAGTAGGTATAAGAGTCTCCGGTGCTTGTTCCTGCAGGTCCGCAGTATGGTACTCTGGAAAAGGCCTGGCATGCCTTCCTGACAGCTGCAGACAAACTGAGTGAAATTCACTTGGCTGTCCGGAACCACCTGGCTGGTGAAGATTCCGATAAGATCAAGGCCTGGCAGAAGGAGGCCTACCACAAGCAGATGATTGGAGGCTTCAAGGAAACAAAGGATGCAGAGGATGGGTTCCGCAAAGCCCAGAAACCCTGGGTGAAGAAGATGAAAGATGTAAGCAAAGTGTGAATGGGGAAAGAGAGATAAGGGTAGTTGAGCTGGCTGCCTGATTTCAAGAGCCACTGGGCAACAAACTAGGTTAGCCAGAGTAGCAGACAATTCCAGAGAAGGATGGATATCTCAAGGATCTCATGTTCTTGTGGTTTAATAACTTCCTTCCCATATGGGAAGACTTTGGTAACGGGTTTTGTATTCCTGCACAGCAGGTGAGCACTGAAAAAGAGATCATTTGAAGGTACCACTTGCCACTGAAGCATTGTTTACTAAATGTTGAACTGGCATTCCTGTTAGGTTGCTGCAGACTCTAACAAATGTTAACATGCCTCCTCTGAGTATTGGAGGATCAGTGTTTTCAGGATCACAGCTTTTTCTGCATCCCTTCTCCTACAGGTGGAGACTTCTAAGAAAAACTATCATGCAGCCCGGAAGGAGGAGAAAACAGCCCATACAAGGGAGAACCATGCCAAGGCAGACTCGTCTGTCTCACAGGAGCAGATGCGCAAGTTGCAGGAGCGTGTAGAGAAGTGCACTCAGGAGGCTGAGAAGGTGTGTGTGCTCTATGGATGGGGGTCACAAGGACACTCCTTTCAAGGAAAAGCATTGGTGGCAATGTCCCTCCGTGAAATTACTCAGCTGAAGCCTGTAAGATGTGAAATCCCATTATCTGAGGTTTTAGTGAGCTAGACTGAGACTTCAGTAACTAAGATCTTGGTCTTTGGAGTTATGCAAGATCCTAATTTATACATGAATTTAAATAAAAAAAAGAAGTGTAGGGGATTTGGTGCAGGGAGTGGAACCTGTAGAGCTGAAGACCTGGCTACCAAAAATACCTCATTTGTCTCTCCACAAGAGGGAAAGTGTGGAAGGTCCTGTATGAAAGAGAGTAGTAAGGAAAAACAGGGAACTTCCAAGAATATTAGGAGAGCAATGGACTGGCACATCAGCTGTGGGATTTCTTAATTCTTTGGTGTATTTTTTCCACAGTGCAGGGGGGAAAAAATTTACCAGTCCCAAGCCAGAGTAGGGAGGGTTGTTACTTCTTTGCCATCGGGGCAACACATCTCACCATTGCTGTGTTCCTGCTACAGTGCAAGGATCAGTATGAGAAGATGCTGGAAGAATTGAATCGCTACAATCCCCGCTACATGGAGGACATGGAGCAAGTGTTTGAGGGCTGTCAGGAGGCAGAACGCAAGCGATTGTGCTTCTTCAAGGAGATGCTTCTGAATCTGCACCAGCATCTCAACCTCTCCACCAGTGAAAGGTACTAGCCCCGATGCAGAGGGGAATCCTGCCAGCCTGAAGTGCTTAGGCTCTGGTGAGGGGTGCCAGTTCTGGGGTGTCTGGAAGCTGCTTGCATCAGGCAGATCTCACTTCTTCCCCTTTGAAGTGTATATTAGAATTGGCATTTGGTCTCTGTAGAGTGACCGGTGCTGGGGTCTGTGATTGTAGGCAGCACCATGCTCCCCAGAGAGGATTTTCTGCCTTTGAACCCTTCCTTTTTCACTACTCTCCAGTACTGTCTTGTGTGTGTACTTCTATCCTATGAAAAGCTTCATGTAGCTATGTATGTAATGCCAGGCTAAGGAATATAGTAACTCTGTGCCGTCTGGTATTGATGGTTATTCCATTCCTGTTTTGCCTTTAGTAGAGAGACCTTTTGTGAAGTAATGCCCACGAGTTGCCCTAAGCAGACATTACACAGGGGTAACAGGCGCAGGCAAAAATCTTCTCTGCCCCTTCTATGGTATAGACAACAAATCTGAGCCACTTCCCTGTCCATGTGTGAGAGTGTGCCAAGTTATTTCAGTGCTCACTTAATGAGCTGTGCTGGCACTTGTTAGGCACTGCCACACCAAACAAGCCCGTCCCGTTTGCCAGGCTGACTCTCCAGAAAGGGAGGCTGTGTTTTCCTAGGGCTGAATAGGTGATGCTCAATCCTGTGGGATTGAGGATGCTATGTAATTGTGCATGAGGTTAATCTCTTCCTTCCTACTTGACTTTTGGGAAGTGCTGAGGGATTTGATTACTGGTGGTTCTGTCTGTTCTGGTTGCAGCTTTCATGCATTGTATCGGGATCTCCACCAAGTCATCATGGCTGCAGACAACCAGGAGGACCTGAAGTGGTGGCGCAACACTCATGGACCGGGCATGGCGATGAATTGGCCTCAGTTTGAGGTGGGGTCGCATTCTAGACTCTGGTAATGCTATTTCCAAACAATTAGCTGCTCAGCTGAAACTGGCCATTGCTAGTCTTGTGTTGGAAAGACCATGTCTTTGCTCAGCAGGCTCAGGATGTTAGGCTCTTCTGAAATTGCTGTGTTGCAAGCTGTCTGCTGCCCAAAGGGGCACACACAGGCTGCCAAGCTATACTCCAGCCATCCAACTGCAGGGTCAGAGAACAGGAGGTGGTGCTCAGGACCGTGGCACAGCTCTCTGTGATGATTTTCTCACAGCCTCTCATGTTGCACCTTGGGATTCAACAGAAATGAGCCTGCTATACCAGCAAGGCTGTTGAGCTGACCACTTCAGCTGCTACTGAAGTACAACCTGGTCTTCTGTTGTTCTGTATTGGGCAGAAAAGATGCAGAGTGTTTCTATCTGAGTGGCTTTGATGGTATTACTGGTTTTCCCTGAACAGGAATGGTCCCTTGAAACACAGAGGCAAATCACCAAGAAGGAGAAGAGTGGCAAGATGGCTGATGATGTCACACTGACCAGCATTTTGCCTGCACGAGATGGTCTTGTCTCACAGACCCCTCTGCAGACAAGGTAAAGGCTGAATTCTGGGATACATCATGTTAGGAAAAGTAAAGTCCTGCCTAGGGTCGTGAATGAGTTGGGTTGATAAGGGTAATCTCTTCTTTAATTTCCTGTCTCTTGCCCACGGCCTTACCTGTGGCACTCTGGAAAAGGCCATGTAGAAAATGCTGTTTAGGGCAGCTGTTTGGTTTTGGGTTTGTTTTGTTGGGATTTTTTGTCTAGCACATTCTGCCTCTTTCCTGGTGAAGATCCTTCTAGTGAAAAGATTTAGCCCAATCTGGCTAGTGCTGTCTGATTCTGGCATGCATTTCCCCAGTTCTTCCTCCCAGACAGGGTGAGAAAAGTTGGGGGTTGTGTGGTTTCCTGGATGAAGGTAACAAATTCTTACTGTTTTTCCCTGGTATGGTGCTGAGCAGTACCTGACAAGTTTGAGTATAGCTGCTTCCCTTGCCAGGAGGCAAGCCTGGAGAATAGGGAGAAGCAGAACAGACTCAAACTGCTGTTACAGTAGCTGTCCTGCTTTAAAAGGTAGACTCTGGCTGAGCAGAGAAGAAGTGAACTGAGCAGAGAAGAATGGGGATATAGAGATTTTTCAAGGCCACTGCTGTATTTCACAGTTAATTGGATTCAAGGGCCCTATTTGCCAATCTACAGGTTTTCCTATCAAGAGGAGCAGAACAGTCTCTTCTATGACACCCTGAAGGCACCAACCCATGTGAAGTTAGTATGGAACATAGCATCTGCAGGGTTTTTTGGGTTCCAGGTGTCTGTTCTCTGCTGCTCTTCCCCTCTGCTCTTGTTCCTGACTTGGAAAACATAATTCCAGACATTTCGTGAGGATGCAAAACACACCTTTTCCTCTCTGTCTTATTCTTGGCTGGAATAACTCTGGATGCAGCTGGGCTGTCCAGTTAGGACTGGCCTTCCTTGTATAAGAAGGTCTGCTAGACTAGGAGGAGGTCATGAACAGTGTGTGTGTGTAAAAATACTTTCACAGTGAGTTATCCTCCTGGCCCTCAGGGTTCTAATGCTAGGGTGCTCTCAACAAAATCTGTTATCTCCTGGGACCTCTCTTCCCTGTTTGCCCTTGCTTGACTTTTGGGCCTCTTGCACCCTGTCCTGTAGCAGTCTCAGGGGGAGTCAGGGTGGTGCATGATTCAGGAGGAGGATGGTGAAAGATCAATCCACTAACAACCATCTTGTCCCCTCTCACCTTCCACACACAGCGGAGGGAAGGAAGACATTTCAGAGTGGTCAGATGAGGACACTCCCAAGAAGTGCCTGGATGCCAATGGGCATGAGGAAGACCTAAAGGTACCTGGTGTGCGGGTACGAGCACTCTATGATTACACGGGACAGGAGGCTGATGAGCTGAGCTTTAAAGCAGGTACAGAAGCACCAATCTCTTACTAACCTTCCTCTGTCCTCACTTGGGCTCAATGAATGATTGCAACACTCTGTAAGAATTGGATGTCCACTTGGAAACTGACCTTTATTCTTCCCTTGGTCTGACCACTGCCAGGTCCTTCGAGGTGGATGACACAGTGGGAAATCCAGCTTTTTCTAGACCACAAGGTAGTGAGGCCACATGGCAAGAGACTGCCTAGGCCTTGGTCAGAGTGCAGGGAGAACAGACCCCTGCCTCTTCTTAGGGCATTTATTCTGAATTGTGTCTTGAACCTTTATTAAATGTTTCTCCCTTGCACCATTGATATAAAAATTACCTGGCTGTTCTGGATTGTCTTTTCAAATAATGAGAAGATAGATATTTTGGGAGAAGCTCACATGACTGACATGTACTACTGAAGGCAGAGGTCAGCTGGCAAAAAACAGCTATGCAAACCGTTGGTATACAAATGGATATCTCATGAATGGAGATCCTGGCCTGCAGCAGAGGATTGAGCGCTGGAGCAAACAGACCTGTCCCCTTTTCTTCCTTTAGTTAAATTTGTTTTCATGTGCCCTCCTCTCATCTTCAAGTGGACATCATGATCTTGGGAGTGTCTCTGATCTTGCTTGTTTTGAGTTTTACATGGTGTCTCTGTGCTGTAGCTCTCCAAAACACACCCACTGGAAGTCACTGAAGTCCTTCTGTAGCAGGGCCTTGTGCCTGAGGCCAATATCTGTGCTGCAGTGTTACCATACTAGTAAACTTTCTAACATTAACTTGTTGCTTTAAAATATCCTGCAGTATGGGTGCTCTAGAACTTAACTTTGTTCTTTCTTTCCACTCAGCAGATGAAATGGGGTATGACTTGTTAGCTGTAGTCATCTCCTTTTTGAATCAGCTCTGAGCAACACATACCATTAAGGAACAGCAGTGACTTTCTGAGACTCTGCCAATGTGGGATGTGCCCATTGATGCAGTCAGACCTCCCTCTCTGGCAGAAGTATGACCTTCTGTTGGTTGAGGAGGGGATCTTTCTGCCCCTCCCAAAGTTGATGTGGGAACGTTAAAGGTCTTTCCTGGTCATAGTCTGAGAAATCCGTTGATTTCATGCCTTACTGGCCAAACCAGATACTCCATCATGGAATAGACATTGTGGGTCCTACCAGCCAGAGCTTAGCAGCTTCTTGAATTTCCTTCCCACTTGCCTATCAGAGGAGCCACTAAGAAAAAAATGTCTCAGATCTGTCTGATCACTCTGGTTTGTAAGCATGTTCCTTAGGGAGAGAAAAGCAGGCAGAACTATAGGGCCAAAAGATTTCTGATGCTGAACAGAAGAAGTGAAGCTCTGTTTAAGTTCCTTGGCCAAGGTAATAGTACTGAGTATAAATACTGAAAAGATCAGTGATTCTGGCTTTGATTAAACTGCATTATGATAAGGGGAGAAGAGTGTGATGATTGAGACCAATAGTCTTGTTTTTTACAAAGTCATCTTAGGTGGGTAAAATGCCATGCTACCTTTCTCAAGGCTGCCTCCTAATGACTGTTCTTACTTTTAGGTGAAGAACTAATGAAGATTAGTGAGGAAGATGAGCAGGGCTGGTGCAAAGGCCGACTTCTCACTGGTCAAGTTGGACTCTATCCTGCCAATTATGTTGAGAAGGTTGGATCATGATTGCTGCTGCCCCACCAGTGCCTCACAGCCATACCAGCATCTCCTGCAGAGGTCACTGGGTCACTCCTGGCCCCAACCCACCTTTGCAGTATATCCAGCAGCTTCTGGACTTTAAAGGCACATATTCCATGTAACTAATGCTTCATTTAAACATCTAGATCTGTAGGGATTTTCTAAAAAATAAACAAGGATGAATAAAGACTTTTCTGAGCACTACAGTAGTGTAGGAGTGCAGAAAGAAACAGACCCTTTTGACTTGCACTGAGTGAAAGGAGATAAGTGTTTTCATGGAGCTCTAGAAAAGAGAGAAAGCATACTTCCTTGACTTCAGTGCACATGCATCCATAGTGCATTGGGTGTTGAGGTCTGCCCTGCCTCCAAGGCTTCCTGTTCAATGAATTTTTGATATGCAGTGTAATAAGGAACTTCTTCTGTTGTTTCCCCTTTTTAGCTCCATCAAGCTGACTGGCAGAAAGGTCTCTATTCTCCCATATATTTTATAAGTTTTCAGTATCCCCCACCTGCAAGCTTGTTGGGTTCCCTGATAAGACAGCTGTTTAAGTTACACAGCTACAACCTGAACATCCCTTTCCACTGCACTCATTTTTATTGGGATAACCCCAGGAATGAATGATAGTATAGCTGAGGCACACGAGAAAGAAGCTTCTGTCTTGCATGGTGTGGCTGTTCAGGCTAATGAGTTCTGAACAGACCTGTTGTGCAGAAGTTGGAACTGACTGAATGCTCCCTGAACTAGAATGGTCTTTGACACATGAAAGCTGGTTTTAAAATGACAGCCACGTTCCAGTGCTGTTCTGCTTAGGATTCCTAAATTGACTTGTGTATGTTGGGGTTTCTAAAGCATCTAGATTATTTTGGCTATACCTCTCTTCAAGAGCACTTAGTGCACAGCAGAGACTCTCTTTTTTTCCTTTCCAATATCTTCTTGGCTTACACAGGGCTAGAAGTGCACTCCCTGCCTTGCCAAAGACCCCTGCACTGTGATGAGGGTTGCACTGTGGAAGTTGCCTGCTGGCTAGCACAAATTACCTATAGAGGGGTAACTCCCCTTTTTGTCCTGAATTGCTCAAGTGCACTTATGCCCAGTTGTTAAGTGCCATTCAGCAGGGAGGATGTACCCAACATCTTTATCTCACCTGTCCTCATGCCTTTCAAAGCCTGTGAGGCTGCTGGGAAGACCTGATCCTAATGCTCTGCATATTCCAACATAGAGCAAGAGCTTGAGGGAACAAAAAGGCAAACAAGCAGATGCTTAAAAATGGCTTACTTAGTACATCTGCCTGAAACTGCTGCTGAAATGCATTTTGAGTTTGTAGTAACCTTCTGTAGTGACATTCTTATTCTGGCCTAGCATGTGTGAGTGACTCAGTCAGACTCACAGAACTCAGCTGAGCCTCCACCAACCACTTGGAGTGAACTGCTTCAGAGCTGTTTGGAAAAAGTGCTACACATAAGAAAGGCTTAAGTCAGGGTGAACATCAAGATTAAATGGCCAGTATTGTGTCAACAGCAGCTAGTAAACCAAAATGTAGACTGAAACAGAGGAGAGGATAGACATTCAAATACTTAATTTATGAAGATTAAAGTATCACAAATATCTCATTGCCTGGCTGACAACAGAAATTAACCTTTTACAGCACACTGCATGCCTTGAATGTAGTTTGCCATGGGCAAAGAGATGGGAGACCACAGAAGCTTACAGTTGGAAAGTTTTGCTTGAAATATCCCTAGCAATATACTTCATGAATGGGGAAGAGGCAAACTAAAAGAAAAAGGCTAAAGCATTTTGCTCAGGGTCTATTATGTCATTTTTCAATAAAAGAGAAAGTATTTCCAAAAGGCAATTAAATATCTAAGCAACACATTAAAAATGCCTGGATTTAGCTATGAATTTAGTTAGTATTCTAGGTTCAGTATCTGAAGATGCCTCTAAGCTTATGCCATGTAATTGGATGTGTTGGTGTATGAGCACTTGGATTTATTTAAAGATCCAGTCTGCTCTCAGTTCTGTATCCCAGGTAAAAATATAATTAGTGTTGTGCAGTAATTGCAAGTGTTCCACTTGCTGACCCACACTGGAATGATTTGTTGCTCCTTTGTCTTAGCACACGTGAATGTGAAGAGAGCCTGCCAGGCTTCTAAGAGAGCTGAGATTAAAACAGCAATAAAATGACCTGAGATGTCCTGTAAACAATACTGAAGTTTCCCTGATTAACCTGCATATTTCAAACACTAATGCTAGACTTTCATGTAAGGTCAAAAAATGGTAGAAGGGAGCTACAGAGGATGACATTGAAAATTTACTTCTAACTCTATTTGAGTTCTAGTCAGGCTGTAATTAGGGATGGGGGTAGGTGTGGCCATAACATGCAAAAGGACAGAAATGTCCAGTGAACAGAGCCTCTGATTACAGTACAAACAACCTGAAATTCCGCCGGACAAAGTCTGAACAGACTTGTTTGTCCTAGGGAAACATGACCACCTGATTATAGTGGGCTGCTTGAAGGTTTCCAGAAAGTGTGACATATTGTATCTTATGTGAACAAGTTCTCTAAGGACTGTTTGCACATCAGAAGTTCCTGCCAAGAGCTGAAGTAATGGACAGCAGACAATACATTGAGAATGAAAAATTGCTTGGCTGGACTATACCTCAGAAACAGGCATGGCACTTAGTCCTGGCTACCCAAAACCATCTGGATTAGTAAAAGAGAGCCTGTGTAGTAAAGATCTAGCTGGAGGGAAGGAGGAAAAAAACAACCCCAAACCAACCCACATCTAATGATCTTATATTAAAGTAATAGCTCTACCTGGATACTTGGTTTTCCACAGAAGCAAATGAGGTTTTGTTAGCCACAAAGGTTCTCGTTGAAACTTCTGTGCCATGCCAAAAGTTTTGTGTGTGAACAGAGACATGTACACAGAAACTAATTGCTGTGCCTGAATTCCAGAAGGCCAGTGAAGCCTGTTCTTCCCCCATGGTTTTTGTAAAAAAAAAAATACAAATGCACCTCTGTGCCTGATGGGCAACACACTGAATAATTATCTAGTCATATTTTATTTTTTAATAAAGCCATTCCTTGTGGAAAGCACGTACACTTGTGGTTAGCAGATAATTCATTTGGTTCTGACATCTTCCTGGAAAAGAATTTTGGAACTATCATGCAAAGCTTGAATTTCCTGTTGATGAATCTTGTAGGAAGAGGAAGTTAAAGATTATCTATGACAGATCACACCCATTTCCCCAAAGTGGCAGCTGAGCTCGCCTAACCCACTAAAGGTTTTGCCCTGTAGGCAAAATCTGGGTCACAGAGCCCACAGGCCAGCTGTGCAGTGGGATGGCAGCTGAGTTGTGGTTAGCCTCCAGCTCTGGGTGGCACTCCCACAGCCCTGCCTGCAGCTTGGGGCCATTTCTGCTTTAGTTTACTTTCCATCCCACTTCCCATCTCCTGTGTCCTTGTGGCTGTTTTGCTTGGCACTAAGCACCGAGGCAGGTGCAAGTATGTGGCAATCCTGCATAGAGACCTGTCAGTGCTGTTAAAATGTCCTGCACTGCCTCTGCTCTGCTCTGTTTGCAGGTCCAGCCCAAGGCCACAGCTGTGAGGCTGTGCAGCTCAGCTCTGTTGTCTCCTCCAGGCTCCCCTGACTGCGGTGCAGGCTCTGCAGTGAACTGGAGCTGCCTTGGCTGCATTTGTGAGCTGCTGGCATTATGCTGAAATCCCTTCTGCTTGCCAAGGAAGTTGGTGTTGCAGTTTGAATGGGCTTGAACACTCAGACCCGTAGGTGACCATTTCTAGGGTAACTGCACTGAGACCAGCTGCTGACAGATCATGGGGCTGAACGTGACAAGCCAGTGCCACAAACCCCATCCTCACCCATGGAAATGTGGTTGGAAAATACCCACTCAGGCTGACAGCAAACGTTGTGCAAAATAAACAAGAATACTAAGATGGCATGATACAAGGCAAAGTGTCTTCAAAGGGACCTTGCACCAAAACAAAACCAACAAACAAAACCAACCAAACAAACAAAACAAAACAAAA